GGTGGAACTGAGCTTCCCATCTTGCTCCACCCCAAGATGGGGTAGGTGTGCTGGGTAGCAAAGGAAGTAACATAAGCAAAGACCTGGTTGTGAGAGAAAATGTCCTCCTAAATAAGAGGGGAATGGTACAGATGAAGTGGCATAGGGACAAGTAGGCTGACCTTGAAGGGTCCTGCTCAAGAAGCAGCAGGGGGTAACTTTAGGTTTACACTTGAGAAAAATCCTCTAGAAGTGGTGAGAATGTGTTATGTTGGGATAAAAAGTAGAAGGAGACCAGCTAAGAGGCTGGTGCAATAAATAATGGAGGAGATGAGTGCTTTGGTCACAGCTTGTGTCAGTGAAGACAGAACCATGGGAAGCTTCACATTTAGAGACCACGGACTGTCACTTGTCAGTTGCGGGGGGGGGCGGGGCGTGTGGAGTGGGCGCTTTAAGTACAGTATAAATTCTAAACTGTGTGAGTACACTGTAATCAATCAAGTTTGTAATGAAAGGGATGGGGGATGGATGGGCTACAAAGCAGAGCAGCCAACACTGGAGACTTACTCCCTAATACTTTCTATTGACTGCACATCATAATACATATCTTACTCTTAGGTGCTTTGTGAATATTTCTGCATTGTTTCAGCTTGCTTGTGATTAGAATTCCCCCCAGTGTCTGACAAAACATAAGTAATTCTGGCTTTCTAGGAGCCTAAAGTTATTGAAATGAAGGTAAGGAGTCAAATGCTTGAAACAAAACCACATCACATGGGGAAGGTTATACTGTTTTTTTTTTGTTTGTTTGTTTGTTTTTTTTGAGTTTTTGTAGCTGATAAGCTTAATGAAGAGCTTCTTTTGTTTTTATAACCTCTGAGATGATGCTGTGTTGAGAGATACTACACCGTTGCTGGTAGGTGAGATTGACCAAGGTCATTTATTCAACAAATAAATGAGGGTATACCAGGTATGTGAAAAGCAATGGGCAAAACAGATGTTGTCCTTTCTGTCATGGAAGTTACCTTCTAGAAGATGGAATATGGTATTGTATTTTGGTAAAACGATTTCAAGAACTTTTTGGTACAAGATGGTAGTTTGGGAAAGCTAAGTAGAATGTATATGTCACCTCTTAATTGTTTCCCACTTAAGAGAGACCGTAGAGAATGAGGATTACAGGAGTTAGAACATGACTAAGGCTTAAGCCATAGTAAATGCTTAATGTTAGTTATTTTATGTCATAATGAAACTTTTTTGCCAATTTTGCAAAGGTTACGCTCTCTAATTTATCTCTTAAACCCCATCTACAAGCTCCATCTGGTAGCGAGGCTACAGTCATCGTCTTTCCCAGAATGAAGCAGCAGTCATCTCCTACTTGGTCTGTCTGCTTTCCCTCTTTCTCTACCAGATGTCTTCTCTACTTTGTAGCAAGAGTAAAACTGAGTGTACTAAATTAGCTGCTGTTAAAACAAAACAAAACAAAACAAAAACAAACAATAAAACCATGAAGTGAGTGACTTAAAGCACCATGTTACTACCTTCAACTTCTGGAAGTTAGAAGTTTACAGTAGGTATCACTGGGCTAAAATATAAAGGTGTTGGCAATGCTATGTTTGTTCTGGACACTCAAGGGACATTCCATTTCCTGGCCACTTTCTAGATTCTAGAGGTTGCTTATATTCCTAGACTTGTGGTCCTGTATCACACTGGCCACTATTTCTATTAACTCATCTGCTGCGTTGACTTTTCTGCCTCTTGTTCACGTTTAAGGATTCCTGGGATTATATTAGACATACCTAGATGGTCTAGGAAAATCATTCCATTTCAAGATCCTTACCCACATCTGTAAAGTTCTTTTGGCATGTAGGGTTGTCCCTTCACAGGTTTGGGAAATTAGGAAGTAGTCTTCTCTTAGGGGCTTTTCTGACTACTAGAGTTTTCTAGGCACTGTTTTATGACATGATACACATTTGGGTAAGTGAGCACTTTTTAAATTTTTTTAATTTTTTTATAGAAATGTCCTCTCCTGCATAAAGCTTTGTTTATGGCTTTGTATTATAACATTAAAACTCATCACATGGTCTGTGAGGCTCAGCCTATTCTGGGTCTTGCCTTGACCTCCAGCTTCTTCATAGGCTCTCATCCCATTCCATTGCTGAAACGATTTGACTCCATTTGCTTCCTGGCCCTCAGGACCTTGTAATGGCTTTTACTTAGAGCAGACCTTCATATTCCTTTGCCTATTTTTCCCTGCCACTCACCATGTGGATCCTATAGCAAATTCTGGTTCCTTAGGGAATATCACCTTGGCCTTCTCTGTGCTAGTCAGATGATCTGCTTGCATGTGAGCCTGGATTTCTTCATAACACTTGATCACAGATTGCCGTTGTTCCTTTATAGGCAGTGTGCCTATAAAGTAGCTCTTTGTGTTGCTCATCTGTATATTACTGTTGTAGTGACAGGAAGAATGGGATTGGAAAGGGTTGGTTCAATTACAGAAGGTTGGAGGTTAATAATTAAGTAAATCAACCAAATGTTCACATAAATAAAACTCATTTCACTCAGTAATTTTCAGAACTTTCCATCTTTGTAAAAATGTGTATAAGATTTTCACTGTCTAGCATGAATATAGAGTGTCTCAGAGGCTGAGAGTTCTTTGTATGGAATGAGAAAAGACCCCGAATAGCCAAAGCAATCCTGAAAAAGAAAATGAAAGCTGGGGTTATAACAGTCTGGAGTGCAAGATGTATTACAAAGCTGTAATTATCAAGACGGTATGGTAATGCCACAAAAACAGACACTCAGATCAATGGAACAGAATAGAGAACCCAGAAATGGACCCACAAAAGTATTGCAGACTAATCTTTGACAAAGTAGGAAAGAATATCTGGTGGAATAAAGACAGTCTCTTCAGCAAACCGTGCTGGGAAAACTGGACAGTGACATGTAGAAAAATCAACCTGGACCACTTTCTTACACCATACACAAAAATAAACTCAAAATGAATGAAAGACCTAAATGTAAGACGGGAAGCCATCAAAATCCTCGAGGAGAAAGCAGGCAAAAACCTCTTTGAACTTGGCCGCAGCAACTTCTTACTCAATATGTCTCCAGAGGCAAGGGAAACCAAAGCAAAAATAAACTATTGGGACCTCATCAAAATAAAAACTTCTGCACAGTGAAGGAAACAATCAGCAAAACTAAAAGGCAAGTGACAGAATGGGAGAAGATATTTGCAAATGACATATCAGATAAAGGGTTAGTATCCAAAATCTACAAAGAACTTATCCAACTCAACACCCAAAAAACAAATGATCCAGTGAAGAAATGGGCAAAAGACATGAATAGACACTTCTCCAAAGAAGACATCCAGGTGGCCAACCTACACATGAAAAAATGCTCAACGTCACTCATCATCAGGGAAATACAAATCAAAACCACAATGAGATACTACCTTACACCTGTCAGAATAGCGAACATTAACAACTCAGGCAACAACAGATGCTGGTGAGGATGTGGAGAAAGAGGATCTCTTTTGCATTGTTGGTGGCAATGCAAGCTGGTGTAGCCACTCTGGAAAACAGTATGGAGGTTCTTCAAAAAACTAAAAATAGAACTACCCTACGGCCCAGCAATTGCACTACTAGGCACTATTCATGGGATACAGGTGTGCTGTTTCGAAGGGACACATGCACCCCCGTGTTTATAGCAGCACTATCAACAATAGCCAAAGTATGGAAAGAGCCCAAAAGTCCATCAAGGGATGAATGGATAAAGAAGATGTGGTGTATATATACACAATGGAGTATTACTCAGCAATCAAAAAGAATGAAATCTTGACATTTGCAACTACATGGATGGAACTAGAGGGTGTTATGCTAAGCTAAATTAGTGAAAGACAGGTATCATATGACTTCACTCATATGAGGGCTTTAAGACACAGAACAGATGAACACAAGAGAGGGGAAGCGAAAGCAATACAAAAACAGGGAGGGGGACAAAAAATAAGAGACTCTTGAATATGGAGAACAAACAGGGCATTACTGGAGGGGTTGTGGGAGGGGCAATGGGCTAAATGGGTAAGGGGCATTAAGGAAGACGCTTGTTGGGATGAGCACTGGGTGTTATGCATAGGGAATGAATCACTGGAATCTACTCCTGAAATCATTATTGCACTATATACTAACTAACTTGGATGTAAATTAAAAAAAAAATTAATTTTAAAGTGACCTTTATTCAGAGTTGGTATCGTGGGTCAGAGGCAGTTTACCTGGTCTGAGCCTGTTGGCTCTATGAGGAACATAGAGTCTATAATGACCTCAAGCTCTGTTAGTGCTGGTGTTCAAGAAGTCTGCCAAAATCTAATGCAGTTGCCACTCAATGCTATGGAGTATGCACTGCAAAATGTCAGTAAGTGTTTAAAACAATATTTTACAACAGAAAAATTGTTTAATACTTTGTGTGACTCAATAGGTCAATTCTTTAATTAAATATTTTATTACAAAGTTTATCATTTTGAACTTGATATAATCTTAGTATCCCATTTAAGACATGATGTTTCACTTGGATGTAGGCAAAGTTATGCAGCTGTGTTAGTGATTTGATGGATTTCTTGAGAGAGACAGAAATTCTGGTATTCAAAACTGCTTTGACTTGTTCCTATTTTATTGAACAAATGATTTGGAAAAAAATCAATTTAAAGGACTATTACGGCATTCTTTTATCTCAATGTACTGATAATAGAATCCAAACTTTGGAATCCATATCTATTGTATAGTATTTATATAGATAAAATTTGACTATGGAGTATAAAATATTAACTACATCTGTTACTATCTATAGTGTGAAATATTCACTGATTAACAATCTTTTTACTAGACACAATAAAATGCATAAAACTGATTTAACTTTCAGTTTTTGATAGCCCTATGAAGTTACAGTAGTGCTTACTAATTCAGTTTTGTTACTAGCTTAACTTGTATAAGGCTCTATTTATATTAAATGTATGTACTCTTTCCTTTTAGAGTATGTTGGATAAAGGACATTGTTGTTGCAGTAACTGGAGAGAACATGGAAGCAATGAAGGGTATCATTCAGAAGTACCAGCATCAACGCATCTCACTGGTTGAAGCTGGAGTGACCCGTCACAGGTCAATTTTCAATGGACTCAAAGCACTGGCAGAGGACCAGCCTGACTCTAAACTGTCTAAGCCAGAAGTTGTGATAATCCATGATGCTGTGAGACCATTTGTTGAAGAAGATGTCCTTCTTAAGGTTGTCACAGCTGCTAAGGAATATGGGGTAAGTGTTTATACTTCTGAAGGTGGATAAAAGATGCAAATACAATAGCAAATGTTGAATTGCTGGATTTTGATGAAATCCTATTTAAATGTCTATATGAAACAGGCATGATGACTAAAAAGCATCATGCTAAATTTTTTTTCAGGAAGCTTGAAGTGTTATAGGTCATGAGACTGTACTGGAATTTATTTTTTCTTACAGTCCAGTGCCTCATCATAACATGAGCTTTTTGGAGAAAAATGTAATAAAGTCTTCAGAGTATGGCTATGTATGCACCTTGAATAAATGAGAAACAATGTACACTTACCTGAAAATACCTAAGAGGATTCTCAAGTCTAGGACACACATGATTATCAAAAATTTGGCTGATCACATGCACATTGTGTTTTGACTTTCTGGAACTGGTTTACTTTCCAGCACGAATAACTAGGCAAGATTTTCACACCCTTTAAAATGAAACATTTTAAGATGACACAGAATTCTGTGTGATATTTCACCAAAGAAGACAGGATAGCAAAAGACCTTTGGTAATGTCTAGAACATCTTTGTTTTGTTCTTATATTAGTAGATAAAAATCCTAAAAATAAGGTAATAGCTTTCTAGTCTAAATTTGAGACAGTGCAACGTGTTGTACACAGTTGGTATAGCATAATAGCAATAAGCTATGGAGTCTGGACATGCTTAGGCCCCTCTTAAACATTTTTTAATTAATGGTGTATGTGCAACTTTCTCAACCTCGTTGAGCCCATTTTCTTTACTTTCCTTACTTGTAAAAATACAGACGATGGAGTGCCTGGGTGGCTCAGTTGGTTGAATGGCTGACTTTTGATTTTGGCTCAGGTTATGCATGACCTCACAGTGATGAGTTTGAGCCCTGAGTCAGGCTCTGTGCTGAGTGTGGAGCCTGTTTGGGATGCTCTCTCTCCCTGTCTCTCTGTGCCTCCTCTAGTTGTCTCTTTGTTTCTCTCTCTCTTTAAATAAACATTTAAAACAATGCAGGTGCTAATACCTGTGGGGTTTTTTATTATTGGAAATTAGGTGTTAAGTTTTTTTTTTTTTTTTTTAACGTTTATTTATTTTTTTGGGACAGAGAGAGACAGAGCATGAACGGGGGAGGGGCAGAGAGAGAGGGAGACACAGAATCAGAAACAGGCTCCAGGCTCTGAGCCATCAGCCCAGAGCCCGACGCGGGGCTCGAACTCACGGAGCGCGAGATCGTGACCTGGCTGAAGTCGGACGCTTAACCGACTGCGCCACCCAGGCACCCCAGGTGTTAAGTTTTTAAAAATAAAAAAGGTATTAAGATGAATTACAACATGTAGGATTGTAGACCAATGGAAGGAGTCCTCTAAGCCTTCTTAGCCATATGGATGGTGAGTTAAAAAATACCAATCTGGAAAAGATAGTATTTGATTTGTCTTCATTGATCTGTATGTAACTGCAATTTTGTCAGGAAATTGGTGGTAATTTTATCTCATCTCCCTGCAGCATAAATTCCTTTTAAACCTGTATAAGAATTCCATCAATCAAATAAAACATTTTTCTTCAGTGTAACTTAAAAATGGTAGCTTGATGTAGTGTTAATGGAGTGAAAATGATCACAGAGGTACGTTAGTTGACCTCAAAACTTGGTCAGGGCCCTCCTATTTCTTCTGTGACTCCTTCCTTTTCTCCAGGCTCCTTTACTGTAGTAGATGCAAGATGATCAGTTAGAAGTGAAATGAAGAGGAAGAAAAGGGCACAGGATTTATAACACTGAGGAATTAGAGTGAAACTTGACAAATTTGAGCAAGTTCCTAGGGAGCACTGTATAGGTGGGGCAGATAATGAAAAATTTATACTATAAGGCAAATAAAATTAGAGATCTTTGGCTATGTTACCTTTTGGAAAAATATCATTCAAGCTCACAATACAAATTACACATTTGGAATTTTTTGCTGATTATTTTTTTTTGAGATCTTATTTCTAAGATTGTCCATAAAGTGATACTTGTGGTAATAGGTCTGAAAGTTAAGAGGACTCTCCTGCTGCAGTTAATAATAAGCTAAGATATCCTGGTTTAACTGGTGACTTAATAAAACATAAACATGCATAGCATTTACTGTTTTTTTTTTTTGTTGTTGTTGTTGCAGATGTGTTGGAATTCTTTGACTCTTTATAATGAATGTTAATAGAATAACTTTTATGTATTATGCACATGATTAAATCATACATGATATTTTAATGAAATCGGTGAAACTTTGATTGAATTAAGAAGCTAGTTTTAAGCAAAATCTTCACTATTTATTTTGAAGCTTCAGGAACTTGATGTCTTCTAGGAATAATGTCTTGTGGGGCGCTTGAGTGACTCATTTGGTTAAGCGTCTGACTTTGGCTCAATTCACGATATCACGGTTTGTGAGTTTGAGTCCCACATGGGGCTCTCGACTGTAAGCACAGAGCCTGCTTGGGATCTTCTGTCCCCCTCTCTGCTCCTCTCTGGCTCATGCTTGTGTTCTCTCTGTCTCTCTCAAAAATAAACATTTAAAACAATGGAAGTGATGTCTTGTTTGGATGGTGTTAAGGAATAATTTTCAAGAAAGTAGGAAATGAGTTTAATACAGATAGGTGAAATACTTTTTTTTTTTTT